TTCCAAAAGTTTTGATTTTTGGAAGATATATATATATATATATATATATATATATATATATATATATAATATAATAATAATATAATATAATATAATATAATAATAATATAATATAATATAATATAATATATATATATATAATACTTAATGTAAGACAAATGACAACCATATGCCTATCACCAAACTACCACAATAATTTTGTTTTACCTTCTTTTGTCTTCTAATAACTCTTCTAACATCTAACTTCAATTTAATTTCACAAAAATTTAACAATTTTTAATGACATTTTCAATGACAATGACTTTTTAACATGCAATATTTCATATTTGCCGCGCTTTGTTCAAGAGTCCGTACAGCGCCAATACACGTGGTGGCAAAACGCTCAGACTGGTAGATAAATTTACCAACAGAGCAACTTCTCCCAGGAAAATATGTACATAGCGGCGCTATTTAATGTTTCAATTAGTAAATAATGGTGCCACAATATTTTTTTGGGAAAAATGCGCAGTCGGTAATTTGTATACAAGTTTCAGCGTTTTGACACTACGTATACTGACACTATTTTTATATTTTCAAGAGCAGCTGATTTGAGCCAAATTTTACACTATACCTTACGACGAAAGCGGCAAAAATCATTCATCCTCTTTATTTTTAACAACAAATGAACTGTTTTTTGCGTGATATAGCTGTAGCAGGGACTTCTGAACCATTTTTGTATCCACAAAATATTTGTTAATTGTTAAATTGGCAGATTTCAAACTATTTTGAAAGACTTATAATTATGGCAAATCTGAGATAATTTACGAATAAAATTTTGAGTCTCAGCTTTAGGATACTCGCTTTGTGTATACCTTGTTCAGTTTGTTAATTTCTAATTTCAAACTGCTGCAGGCGTTCTTCGACTCGTATAATTTCATTTGCGTTTGTTGCAATTTTTCGTTTAGCTGCTTCACTCGATCCTCGTCCTCTTTCAGTCGATCATTCTCAGTACCTTAGTTAACACTATCCTGCATCTCGATCATCACATTCAAAACGATGGAATAAATTGGGATATATTTTCAAGAAAAAGTTGTATTCAATTTTCCCTGTTTACGAAATGGCCCTAAAAATATGCACACTTAATTATAACTCACTCTCCTGGGAGGAGTCGATCTTCGAATGCTTCCGGTCTCTCTGCTTTTCGTTCTCCAACTCAGTTTCTTTGTTATTCAAGCTAGTCTCAAGGGATTTGCATTTTGATTTCAGAACCTCGATCTCGGCAGCTTGTTCTCTGCACCTTTTGCTGAGCTCGATTATTTTCACAACGGCCATTTCGTTCGGTTTCCCCAAAATTGTTGTGGATGTTGTCGGTTCAGATTGTCTCTTTCGAAGCTTTTCCTCAGACTCCTCGAGGACTCGCCGCAGACAACCATTCTCAGCAGTTAAATCCTATCACATCGCGATAATTCTGAGTTTTTCGTTTTAGAATCACGAGCGAATTTTCATTGGAATCTAATCGTATTTGTTATGAATTTTACTTGAATCCGATTCCGCAAGAACAGATTCAGTTCTTTCGGGAAGATAATGTTATCGGGCAGCTTCTCCTAAGACACATTAATCCTCTGTGATTTATAAAGAAAAAACAAGTACCGTTTGAAATTTTGTACTTCTACGAATTCGTCCGTCCACAAAACTGTCGCCTCGAAATCTAAGGATTGATTTTGATTCTTTGTAGTACGCATAATTTCCGATTTAGACATTTTTCTTGATACATTAAACTGCTTAGTTAACCTCCTCTTGCTATAGTCATGTCACAGCAATCTGTATTTTTAACCTTCTTAATATACGTCAATAAATACTACACACAGTATCATTCATGTGTACACATACAGTTATATTTTTTTCCTATAATCGTGCACAGTTACAAGAATCAGGTTAAAATTTCATAATATTAATTATACATCTCTTAATAGATATTAGTTTTATCTATGTAGATAGTAATATAATATTTTCAGTATCTTGTTTAAAATAAAAAAAAAAACATTAATACTAGATGTCAGAGGGAGAGTAATAGGGAGGAAATTGTTTAATGATTCATTCGTAATTCGTTCTATCCATCAGACAATTACGTCTTCTTCTGAGCGTTTGGCTTTCCCCCTTTCCAGCCACCCTTCTTCTGAAAATGTTTCTTCTGTCCACCAGCTAATTTTCCTGCTCTTTGAAGAGCTTGTAACTTCTGATTTTTTGCGACAGTTTCCTTCTTGTTACTTCCAGAGTATTGCACCTTTATTCTTCGGCCATTGACGAACGAATTGTTCAACGACATCGCTTTTTCGTAGTCCATCTGATTACCAAATTCTACATACGCAAATCCTCTTGAAGTGTTTTCTTTCGTTTTCGGTATCCTGATGTCGACTATTTGACTGGCTTTAGTTAAGAAGTGCTTCTTAATTTCTTCCGCTGTGGCACTAAAAGAAAGATACGTGAATTATATAATACATGAAAGAACCCTAACGTTATAGTAACCAACAATATATATTCTTACGTAAAAGGCAGGTTTCCTACAAAAAGAACGTATCTCTTTTTTTTCCCCCCTTGATCTAAATTTTGTTTAGGTATACTCTGAACATCTTTTGCTTTAACTTCTTGAACTTCATCATTGTCATACTCCCCCTCCTCCACCTCCTCCTCATCCTCCTCCTCCTCCTCCTCGTCGTCGTCATTCTCATCCTCTTCTTCTTCCTCTACATCGCTATCATTCTCATCATCATCATCATCTTCCTCTTCCTCTTCCTCTACATCGCTGTTATCTTCATTGTCGCTGTTATCTTCATCTTCGCTCGAGCTAACAGTATTTAAGTCAACACTGTTCTCCGCATCATCATCATCATCATCATCATCATCATCATCTTCATCATCTGACAACCTTTCTTGCTTCAGAAGGAGCAAACTCCCTTGCTTAGCTTCCGTCTTTTTATTATCCTTAAATGCCTTAGCTTCAACCTTTTCAGGTACCTTCTTTTTCTGCTGTACGGTATTTTGACTTTGTTTCTTATTTGCAGTTGCTACTTGTTTCTCATTCTTTCCTTTCTGTGCTTGTTTCTTCATAACAAGTGGCTTCGGTTTATATGTACCCTCTTTTATTCCTAATATTTTTTTTAGGGAAGCTAATTTCCTCTTAGCCGACTTTGAAAGATTTTCTCTGCTTTCAATTGCCTGGATTTTCTTTTTAACATCTTCAGCAGATATGTCAGGATTGAATCTTTGAGGGTTCTTTGCTCTTACCTCTTTACGTTTCTCACGGAAAGCTACTCTACTTTGCTTATCTTTATTCTCATCACCTTTATCATTGAACATTTGATTTAGTACTATCTATAGTAGCTATATTTTCTTTTTTCTAATAAACTATTGTTAAGATTACCAAAAATTCATATATTTCTTACCTGACTTTTTTTCAACCTTTACTTGAGGCTTCACTTCCTTTTTAACTTCTTTAACTGCTTGTCCATTTTGTACAGCCCCGTTTGCTGATTTCTTCTTTTTGGGAACAAATTCCTGCTTTACTTTTACAGCTACCTCACTTTCACTCGCAGAACGCTTCTTGCTTTTGTTAACCATGATTGATCTTTTTAAATTATTAACAGTAATCTACACAAAACAAAAAAAATTATAAATACTGTTACTAAGTATCTAATAAAGTAAAAACAAGTTTATTTGTAACACATATTAAGTATCACAATTTTACTTCGAATCTGTATTAAATACAACTTCTTAAATCGTATTTTCCATGAATATTTCATACATTATATTGTAGAAATAAAGGTTATATTAGACTATACGCTAATTGTTTTGATAAAATAAATCGGTGTACAAAAAAAAATTTAAGAGCCGCATGTATCAGAGCAAGGTGAACCATACAAATAAGTCGATATTTCTAATTTTGCTATTAATTTGAACTGATTGTAATATAACTTACCAAATTGCTAATGTAACCACTAATCGTTTTTCAGTGAAAAACAGTTTAAACGGCGAACAAACGTGTATATTTTTCGTTTTACAAGAGCAACTAAACATACCACCCTAAACGTGGTTGAATATCGAGCGTTCCAGGTTAAGTTCAACACGCGTTCCTCGTTGTTTCTCGTGTTTCTACATGAGACGCGCAGTTCCGACGGATTTCATCCATTTGCGCATGCGTATAAAATTTAATGACCATTTTTCACATTAAGTACGTATTTAAATGTTATCCTTGAGACCACATGTACATTCTAAGTAAAATATAATAAATAAATAAATAAAATATGTAACTTAAGGTATCATAGTTTTTCTACGTACATAATATTAAAGATCTCATAACCAAATGATTTTTTAAGTGCTGCGTCACTTCCGTCACAGCACCGTCGGTAACTTTGAATTACGAAAATTATTTCATATCAATCAAAACAAAAGTAATATTTTACAGTTTAGTCTATTCAGTTGTTACCATTTTAATCTCTCTTGTAAATAAAATTGTACCAATATTGGTAAATGTACTGTTATGTAAAACTTTAATAAATATACTTTTACAAGCAAAATATATTACTTATTAAGTTTATTAGGCAGTCGGCT